GATCGAAAAAAACACATGCTATGGTCGTAGTCGGGTGTGCAACATCAAAATACTAAAGAAACGAATATAAGTATGTAATTTGGAGGTATCCTAACCTCCAGAAAAATGTAGCTGTAAAGGCAAGAAAGACTTCTAGAAAGTACTACCTGTTCATTGGTTAATTCACGTGGACAGTACGACTTGCATCACTAATGACTGAGGATTTTCTGCATTTACGTGTTTCGGTTCTTGAAGCCAAAGAGACGCAGTAACACGTTTTATTACCAACAACTTCAGCGCACACTCTGCCCTGCATTACCCACGTTTTCGCCTAGAAAAGAAATTTACACATTGAGTCTGGTATTTTCCTAGAGGGAGTGAAAAATCTTCCTATGGGCATTTGCTCAGAAAGTGCATAACTGGCCCTTTCCAAATTCATCATGCAGAAATCTCATTTTTCGCTACCAGTTAATTCTCATTTAAAATCTCGTGTATAGCTAAGATTCCATCTGAGAAATAAATGCAGAAGCGGCATCCGTCAAATGCAGTGATTCAAATTTGAGAGAGAAAAAACGGCGCAGTTTTGTTTGCTAGTTATTTCACACGTCATGTGCACTGCTATAAAGCGTGCCATCATACTGAGGAGAACATTACACTGCGCTGCCACTATTGCCAGCGACCACTGGACATTTACGCAACGATTTTAGTGTCGATCATTAGCGTCTGACATGATTAATAAGGGTGGTGATTGTAATGACGGTGGTGTCTGATGTGGATACTGATGGTGCTTCAACACCTTTTGTCGCTACAAATATTTTATAACCGAAATGACATATTACTAAATACTGTGAGGTTTTCATCAGTAATATTGCCCTTCCATCTGATTTAAGACCTCTTAGCACCCTTTGGCGTTATTCTGCAGAGTTAGGTACGATGCTCTTGCAAATTCAATATACTTATTCTTGTTCTCATACTGCTTAGTTTTTAAAATGATCCTCTCCTTGAACTGACATCCGCTGCGTTCTGAGCTTTTCAGCGTTCCCCACTTCATGTCCAATTAGCAGAGCATACAAATTCATTGAGGTTTGTCACAGATATTCGCCTACATAGACTACTTACTCTCTGTCAAGCATCGCCCTGCCCTGACATGTCATTGGTGGCACATTCATCGTCCTTCACGCCGTGAATAGCCGTTTATTGAAGGATGATGCGATGCACAGTTATGTATTTTTTAGGGACATTCATATCTCGCTAGCACAAAGTAAAGGGGCAGAAACGATACGTACAGGAGAGAGTGACGGGAAACCTGTTTGTGAGTCGATTGGAAGATCGGTACGACTGAGGGACCTTGCCTGTTAGAAAAATAATTAGTCCAGTTCAGGGTCGATCATCGTTCGCTTTAAAATAGAAATCTTAGAAAGCCTGCCATATACGAAAAGAGTTCGCACGTGTTTTGTTTCCGTCTTCCGAATCTGTAACGCCTTTTCTTTCACGTGGCTTTTATTGTAGCACTGTTATCCGTTAACCTCCACCTGCCAGAACTTTTACAAAGCTCATTTCTGCATCTTGGTGCCCCATACAGCCCATACTTTTCTGCTTCCTTCAAACAGTAGTATTATCTAGTTCTGAAAGTTTGAAGGCAAGTGATTTGCACCTGCGATCTTTCGACTTCGAATCGTACTCCGCCGTCCGAGGTACTTTGGTACATTTAAGAAGTTAGTGTTAAACTACTGGCCTATCTGAAAAACGATGGGATACCAGAGGAACGGCCTGAGCAGGCACGTCGCTTACAGTCATCCAGCAAGCTGACAAAGATAGTCGCATGGTGTAAGAAGGTTAATGGACATTCTGATGCTGACCGTTCGCGTGGTAAAAGGATTTTCGTTTCGAAGCTGTTCCATAGAAGAATCAGTCTTTGGCAGCTTTCAATCAACGCATCTCAAACATGCAGCCTTGGATTCTTCTACTCCGCTAAACTTTCTATGCAAAAGCTTTCATATTGCATATATACGTTTTATGCGTTATTTTCCCGTTTGTGACTTAACAAAAGATTATACATACGCGCATAAAATGTTCCTTAATTAGCGACATCTGACATTACCAAAAATTATATCATCTCCCTCATAAAGAAATAATGTGTGTTTTCCAATATCATATATTCATTAAAAATCATACATGATTTTTTTATGCGGGAGATGATATAATCCTTTGGTAAGTCACAAACGGGAAGACCACGCATAAAATGTTCTTTAATTAGAGACATCTGACGTTTCGGACCAAACTCGGTCCGTCTTCCGAGTACATTAACAAGGGCACCTAATATTTCTCCTTATAATATATTCATACAATAAATAGTTGTAGTCAATGAACCTGCCTGTATATGTACCACGCATAACATTTAACGCGTTTATGACGCCGCAGTCTAAAACTTTCCCAGAAATGCCAAATTTCTGCAGCTTTAGGTTGCCATTGACTTCAAGGTAATGGACTTGTGGAAATGCAATTCGGTTATTCTAGAATGGCCAAAGCGATGGGCAAAAAATGAGTTAGTTTGTCGATCTAGAATGATAGTCCCAAACTGAAAGCTGTTCTTCTGAGTCCCCTCAGTTGGGCTATCACACTCGACTTGCATGACCTGTGAAATGTGGATGTCTCGTTCTTGAAGGTGTTCATCATGTGAATGAAGGGATACAGCGTTATACCATTCCGTCATCCTCTGATAGTCAATAATTTACTTGATGAAAGGGCTCTGATATAAAACACTGTAAAACGTAGCAATATTCGCCCGGTCTTCCCTGAAATCAGGTTTTGATAATCGTTGTCTCCTTCTTCTCCTTTCTACCTCTTTCCCTTCTTATTCCCTTTGTCTCTCTCTTCCTCCTCTTTGGTGTTTCACCGTTCTTTTGCTTTGTTTAACCTCGCTTCATGAAGACCAAGAGAACAGGATCCGAAACGTTGGGAAACACACGCTAGAAATATTTGATATGTGACATAGCATCATAAAGCAGCTTGCTCATTTTGAACGGTTCACCTAAACATCCAGTATGTTTTGTATTTCGCTTAGAAACAAACGAGACGGACGACCAGAGCAAAGTTCACATACGATGTTTTCAATATGAAGTTTTGCCTTTCACGAATTAATAAGATGCGTTAAGATGTGTTTGCACGGTTTCGCGGTTCATGTATGCTATACAAACAAACGTGGGCCCGCTGCTGAAATGGCATATGCTTTGCCGGACTTCTCATGATTGAAGGCACACAACGACACAGGTGCTAACACACTCTATAACAAAGTCAGGGTACAAATGTTTACTATACGTTATTAACTATATAGCATAAATATACACACTATGTATGCTGTATGCGATACACTGTTGTGACCATGATCAAAGATTAACAGCGTTTAAGCAGTGGATTTGCCGACTTTTCTAAAGTGTGACCCGTACGAAGCGAGTCTCAGATTTTTTTACACCAAGTTCGTTTTTGTGTGGAATTACATGCTCATCGTTGCTAGCACGTATATTCGATTTGGATGCTTTTCGATCATGTCTTTTCTGCCAACATTTCCGGCAAAAATTCGTAGTCCGATAAGAAAACGTCGGAACATGAGTTCTTCAAAGCAAATGTTGTTCTATGATTAGGTCACTAAACAAAGGTGATGGACGAAAAGGCACTCGTGCTATCATCGAGTCACAATATAAGCTGTCCCAAGCTATTTGAAATGGCTCACCTCCTGCATTGTCGTACCGTATTGTCATACGTGTTGTCGATGGCAATGGCAGCTGTCAAGCTCCTTGTATTCTTGGTGACTATTTTTGGCGCTACTCCCACGATCGTACATAACCTTTCAGGCAGCAGCCTGTGTATGTAACTGACGGCACTCAAGGTTCGGTACTCTGAGCAGCGACACTGACTGACCATTAGACCCTCGTAGTTCTTTGCCAGGACGCCGGTACGCTTCACGAAGCCCCCCGTGACGTTAAATAAAAAAAGTTCTTAGCACTGAGGCTTAAAAATGATTGCATATGTTATGTTTAACCAGTCCAACCGCATTGCTTTGACTCTGCTGTGAATCTTTCTTTTGTCAGTGCCTTGTGTCGCGTCTGAAC